TTTCTTAGTGCTATTCTAATGTCTTGGTTTCTTAGACTGTATACTAAAGGGTTAAACAGGGGAATACATACAGTATGCAGCAATGATATAAACTTATTCAAAAGCAATAAATGTCCTATGGATGGTATCATATACTTTATTATTAATGTTCCATAGAATGCACCAACCACGAGAAGGTGAGAACTGCAGGTTGAAAAGGTTTTCTGTCTTCCGGTTGTAGAAGGGATCCTAAGTATCATAAGGAAGATATGAACATAAGTCACTATGATAAAACCACAAGGACAAATAAATAAAGGAGTAGAAAGTAAAATGGCTAAAAATTCCACCAGAGACGTGTCTGAACATGAAAGTTTTTGGAGTGGGGAAAGGTCACAGTATATATGGTCAATGATGTTTCCATCACAGTACTGAAAGTTGGATATAGGTATGATACCTATTAGGTTCATGGTAAATCCTAACACCCAGGGCAAGACAAACAGACAGGTGCACAAGGTAAGGTCCATGATAGTGATGTAACGCAATGGGACACATATAGCCAGGTATCGGTCATAGGACATCACTGCAAGCAGGAAACATTCTTCAAAAATTACACCACTAAAGAAATATAATTGAGTAATACAGCCAGGAATTGTCATTTTTTCCCCACCGTGTAAGATTGCACCCATCAAGTTGGGAAGAGTATTTGTTGTGAGCACAATATCAGACAATGATAGATGACAAAGAAAGAAGTACATGGGAGACTGAAGGTGACGGCTGATTGAAACTAACACAATGATCAGAAGATTTCCAGTTACTGTGACTAGGAAAATGTTAAGGAATATGATGAAAATTAAAATGTTGAAGCCATAAAGATTTCCAAAGCCTAGAAGTATGAGTTCCGTGACTCTCGATTCATTCCTTACAGTCATGGTCCAGTCAAGGTTCCTCACCACATGCATATCACCGTACATTGTTTAAAATTATAAAAACATATAAATATTATGTTAATGTACAGAATGGAAACTAAATCCAAATGTTAATACTCACAACTAATATTTATTTTTGTTTTTTCTTCTCAGTCTCCATATCCTTGGCATTGGTGGAACTGGTCTGTAGACCTTTTTATCTTACCTTTCCCACTACGCTCTCAGTATCTCTTTTTTCAGTTACCAGCTCTACATGTCTAGTTAAAGTAAAACCATTACAGTTCTTTTCTGAACAAGAGATGATAAGGACTCAGGACTCCAATCTCACATTTCTACAGGACTCCAAACTGTTTTGGCAAGCACAAGTGTGAGTAATAAGTAATATATAATCATTACATAAAACATGATCCATTATCCAGGATTTCTGAAGTCACTGGCCAATGAAAGACTGTATTCTTGTTTTATAGTGTTTCTCCTAAAAATGTTTTCAAATGTTTTCCAAGAAGTCAATAGGAATATGAAATGTATGATAAATCAGAAAAAAAGGTTTAGACAATAAAATCGCCAATAATTTTAAAGAAAGAGGTTTATCAGAAAATTAATTGCAACATGTTAAAAATCCTAACAGAAAGAAATTCTAAAATATAAACTGGATATTAGTCTCATGTTAAAATGTTTGGTCTTATTTTTAGGAAACATTGGTTCCATTCATAAAGAATGTTATCCATTTCTTAATTTACCTTTGATGTTGTTTGAAAACAGATAGTTTGTGCTGAAATGAAACCAAATACATTTACATCTGTTCATTTTTTTATTTTATTTTTTGGACAAACAGAGTTAGTCTGACTAAACTGTTTGAATTTTAATTTGAAATTACAACAAAGGATTTAGGATTTCACACAGGCAAAATATGTAACATTAAAGGGTTAAAGAATATTCTACATTTAACTCTTCATTGTTTATTTACTTAAGAAAGCATGCGTGCAGTAAGATATACCTTATGGAGGGTTCGTGCCTTTCTAAATCATTTCTCTCAAGGTACAGCCAGTGATAGATGCTGGGAACTGAGTAATATCAAATATTAAGGATAAAAATCACACATTATCGCATATTACCACTGTGAAAACATATTGTGCAGTGAGCTGGGTAAATGAATAAACACTGATTTTATAAACTCCTTAAAAATAAAAATGGGGTCCTTTCTAGTAAACAAAGTCATCTAGATTCTTTAAAAGAGGTGTAGATTTTTATAACAGCAATAAAAGCCTGGTCTCCTAGTACCGAGAGAGATTGCTACAGGTCATGTCAGTGCTACATGGGCCCCAACTCTCAACAGCACAACACGGATGCCAACTTCCAATACGAAGTTCTAGCCATAGGCACACTTTCCTGGCCAGCCACACAACACGCAGTATGGCAGACAGAATGGGAGCAGAGATGTGGGCTACACTAAATGCTGAATATCAATATAAACACAGTAATAACTGATTGATTATTGTGATATAATTTAATAAACAATACATGTTATTAACTAATGTGTGAATTGTAGTGAATTGAAAACCAAACAGCAAACTTTATGTCAAAATATGATTTGGGGAAGAAAATAAATAGCTGACTTTTTTTTTTTCTAATGCTGCTCTTTTACATTAAATTTTAAATGTAATTTGATTCTATGTTGAATTCTCAGCAATTCACACTGTATTGAATAAGCGCTTAATTAATTAACCCCTTAAGGACGGAGCCAAATGTACACGTTGTGAACAAAACAAAATGTAAACAAAACCTGGCATTTGCGCTACATGTCTGTCCAACCGTAATTCACCTCTTTCATAGTAAATGCACCCACCCTTATTATATATCATTTTATTCAGGGGAAACAGGGCTTTCATTTTATATCAAATATTAAGCTATGAAACATAATTTAATATGAAAAAAATGGGAGAAAATACGTTTTCTTTTTTGTTTTTTTAGTTCTACATGACATTTTAACGGTCAATGTCATAATACTGTTTGCTTTTACTGCAATAAAATACACATATTTGTATTCAGCAAAGTCTCACGTGTAAGACAGTACCCCCTATGTACAGGTTTTATGGCGTTTTGGGAAGTTACAGGGTCAAATATAGCATGTTACATTTGAAATTGAAATTCGCCAGATTGGTTACGTTGGTTATTTGTGTTCAGCGAAGTCTCCCGAGTAGAACAGTACCCCCCATGTACAGGTTTTATGGTGTCTTGGAAAGTTATAGGGTTAAATATAGTGCTAGCAAATTAAATTCCCTTTACTTTCGGCATGGGTTGTCAGGCAGGTCCCGCTAATTGTAATTAATTAAGATAGCTAATTGTGTAAAAATATTACATAAATATATATGTAGAATTAATATATGTATATATATACGTATGTGTATATATATGTATATATCTATATAATTTCTTTAAAATATTTTTATTTATATATAGGTATATATATAGTGATATATACGTATATATTTATGCATATAGATATATATATTATTTCGTTCTACGTGTATTTTGAGATATATATATATATATTAATTTCACAATACAGTTAGAACGAAATAACACACATCTATATATTTTTTAATTATTTTTTTTAATTATTTTTTTAATTTTATTTTTTAACGTATTTACATTTTTATTTTTTTTATATTTTATATAAATATATATATAAAACAATAATTATATATATATTTAATCACTATCAGTCTACGTGTAATTTGATATTAATATATATATATATATAATTATATATATTAATAGTAAAATACACCTAGACAGTGTACGTGTGTGTATGTATATGTGTATATATATACACTTAGATCATATATATATATATATATATATATATATATATATATATAAAATCTAAGTATATATTATTATTTTTTTTACACTATTTATTTTATTTAATTTTATTTCCAGCCAGCAGGGGGACCACCTGTTATTACAGGCAGTCCCCCTGCTGGCAATGCTGCAGCCAGCTACCCCCGGCCATGTGATTGTGGGGTCCTCGCAAGGACCCCACTCTCACATGGCCGGGGGGCTTCCAGGACGTCGGACGTGCTGCGGGGGGCTCCCTGGGAATCTCCCAAACTGTGAATCCGGCGTGGGATCGCCGGCGACCAGGTAAGTAGGAAAAGACCGGAGGGCGTACTATTACGCCCGGCGGACTTTAGAGCCGCTTTGAATAGGGCGTAATAGTACACCCTCCGGTCTTAAGGGGTTAAAAACACAAATGTACAGTGAATTCAAATCTGAATTAAAAATCTGAGGATACTGTGACTTTAGATGAATTGGAGAATGTCTTCAGATCAGCAATACGAGATTCAAATGCAATTCAGTGTTTAGTGAATAAACCCCCGAGAGACTTCAATAGCAATAATAAAATACACAGATACATTATAACAGATTTATAGAAACGCAGCGAGAGATGGCAAGGTTTGTAATAAAACAATCTCACAGCTTAATGAAAAATGTGTCAACACTCCCAAACACAAGGAATATACGCCAGTTCAGTGCCCTTTACCTTAAATAAATCGGAAATTACACGGAACAGTATATTGTGTTAAAATCAACATTTTATTATTCTTCCCTGGGCTTTCTTGAAAAAAATTGAGAAATCTCAGTATATTCTTCCAGAACACTTTCTAAATAAATCTGTAAAATTACTTACCAAAAGATAAAGTTAAAATATATGGGAAAAGGAGCAAAATATTTTGATTATATTTTAGAACTCGAAGTTAGCAGAAATAAGATACAGCTTAACGCTGGAACTCCATCAAAGTCAAATATCTGAAATAATGCTGAGAATGTCTGTGAGTCTATTTTATATTTTACTCTGTTTATACCAGGGGAGTTTAGTGCCAAGTCCCTATAGAGCTGGAGTTTAGTGTAAAATTATTTCATCATACAGAAAAAGATTTTTTTTACAATTTTAAAAGTTAAACACAACACTTGTACTTTTATGTAAATTTTTAACTAGTGATGTCCCGAACTGTTCGCCGAACGGTTCGCCACAAACGGTTCGCCACGGACTCATCATTGAGTAAACTTTGACCCTGTACCTCACAGTCAGCAGACACATTCCAGCCAATCAGCAGCAGACCCTCCCTCCCAGGCCCTCCCCCCGCCTGGACTGCTCACTAAGAATGTAGTGGATGCTGTCCAGGAGGTGGGAGGGTCTGGGAGGGAATAATGGATGCTGTCCAGGAGGTGGGAGGGTCTGGGAGGGAGGGTCTGATGCTGATTGGCTGGAATGTGTCTGCTGACTGTGAGGTACAGGGTCAAAGTTTACTCAATGATGAGTCCGCGGTGAACCGTTCGTGGCGAACCATTCGCGAACAGTTCAGGACATCACTATTTTTAACTAATTAGCTGTATTTCTTTGCTCATTCTGCATAATTGTGAAAGAGTCATTTGCATCTTCATCCTGTGTCCTCCATTTTAGAATACTTATTTGTATGCTTATTTTGCTGATTTTGTACCTGTGTTTGTGATATCATATTTCCCTTTCTCACCCTCCCTGTTAACCTGCAGTATTTCTCCAGTAGTACAGTAATGTCACCAGTATTAGACTCCCCAAATGTGGTGAATTTTATTTTGCCTAGCACAGTTTTTTTTTTAGTTAACATAAACTCACAGGTTGCTCAAGACTTTGAGGTCTGGCTCCCTTCCTTTGGCACCGATCAGGACAGTCTCTTCTCTTATTGTAGCAATCAGTAGGCTTTAATCTAAGGTTATCAAACTATGGCCCCCAGATATTGATAGCCTACAACTCCCAGCATTCTTTGACTGTAATAGAAGGCCAAAAAATCATGGGAGTTGCAGTTCATAAACATCTGGGGTACCAGGGTTTAATTAAGATGCCTGCTTTAAACAGTGATACTGTTATCACTGACAAACAGCAATGTCCTCTTTCAAATGAGGTTGCTTAGAGGTATCTAGGTGTTACTAACACAAAGATCTGTGGTTCTTTTCCAAACCCCTATCTAAATTTCATCCAGAAATACAGATAAACTACAAATAACTGACCACATACATTCTAATCACTTTCAAGATAATAAGCAATTATTGGACTAAAAAAACTAAACATAGATTTAGCCATACTCTTAATCCAAGATGGGTGAAACAGCTATTGATAGTAATCAAATGGTAATTTCTCTTATTATTTGTTAATGTGAATTTAGTTTTGTATAATGTAACGAATGTATTCAGTATATCCTGGTATCAGGGTGTTACATTGTCTCACTCTGTATTAGTTCTACCCATTTAATAATACTTTTTTTTTCCTTTTCATTGGTAATATTTATATATACCATCTTTTTCTCTCAGTTTCATGATGTTTTTAATTCATTTTGTAATTAAGAGAAAGTAGGACACAAAGTATAATATTAGAATATTAGCAAAATAAACTCATACGTTACAATAATAATTTAAAGACAAATTCATTTAAAGACAAACTATCTTTTCTGCAAATTTTTTGAAACTGTATAAATACACATATTTAGTTGCAGTCTAATTATATAATATTTCATGTGCATCAGTCACACCCTATATTAGTTCAGGTAATAATGTATTTTTGGTTGAGTTTATATCTAAAACATAAATTGCTTGTGTCTGATCCACATTGTCATTTTCAGCATTTGTGATAAAGACGTGAAGCATTATTAATGTGTTTTTGTCTTTGAGGGAACGTTAATGTAAATGCATTTTGTGTCCACATTTAATGTGTATTCATCCTAATGTGTGTATTTCTGAGTGTGTCTTGCATTGTCTGTCTGTGCATGTGACTAAGAATGTGTGTCTGATAGTGACTATCCTTGTATGTGACTGTATTTTTCATGTGAGCATGTGTATGTTTGTGCCTGGGGATAGTATTTGTGTAGGTTAGCTGCTTCCGGTATTTTGTGTATATAGGGGGCTGCCACGGCCTTTGTGCACTGTGTTTATGGGGAAGCTATATTTTATGACTTTGTGTGTATGATGATCTTCTTCAGCGGGTCACTGTGACAGGATGAGTAAAGGTGTTAACTGTATCAGGGTGAGTGTGAAAGGACAGGTAAGTGAATGTGACAGGGTTAGGGGTGAATGTCACAGAATGAGGGAGGATGAGTATGACACGGTTGAAGGAGGGAGTGTTACGGGGGTGAGGGGAGATAAGTGTGATATGATTAGGGAGTTAAAATGACTGGCTTAATGTGGCATAGTTGGGGATGAGTATCGCAGGGTTGGGGTAAATGGTGTCAAGGGAGTCTTACCTGTTGTGGATCAGAAATGTTGATCTTTGTTATATTCAGAGGAAGCCCAAATTGTTGTTACAAGTGCACTTGGAGAAGCGAGAATTAGACACCAGACACCTGTTGGTATTCAAAATAAGCCTCTGACGTTTTATTCATCAGCTGGGTTTTATACATTAAAAAGTAAGTGCTTACGTGCAAATACTCTTAGAACAGTAATAGGAAGAGAATACAGATAAGACATAGGGATGAGTGTCATGTACCCATAACAAATAAGTTTCAAGGTAAGAGAGAACAAAATGATTAGAGCAGAGACATCTTAGGTGGGGGCTCTCTGCTCCCGGAACTTAGACATATATGGTCTTAAGTGTTGTTTAAGCATCAAGCATTTCCTGAGTCCAAGTTAGCCAATTTTAATATAGGATATCATTATATGACACCTATAAGCTTGAGCCTTGGAATCAAGATAAATTCTATCACATACCCAACAAGAAGGAAAGCGGAAACCACAAAAGGTAGATGCGAAAGACATATTATTGAGCTTTAGAATGGCCGGACTTAACGTATTAATACAGCAGGAAACAAAGTCAGGGTAAGTCAAGGTCAGGAATACAGAAATACATGGAGAGAAATACAAAGCGAAGTCTGGATACCAGAAGTCACAAATCAAATATGAAGCCAAGGGTCAAGAACAAGAATGCAACAAGAGAGACTATTATATAGCACTAAAGTGCATCAGAACAGAAACCATGATAGGACAATGAGTAAGGGCTAGAACAGGTTTTAAATATGTTCAAAAGAGTTCCCATTGGTCCACGTCATCTCTGTGATTCCAAATAGCATGTGGTCATCCACCTAGATGACATGGCCCCTTTAAGGGCATGACGTCATGGAAATATAAAACTTCAAAGAGCTGCAGTTCAGCCCGTGAACCAGCAGAGGGAGCCATTTGTGGGACCAAAGGTGAGCATGCTGTTCAGATCGCACGGCCATGTGTAGCGTTCGAGCAATGCCGCCTGAGGACTGCAGTATTGCGGCCATGTGGTGCATTCTGCTCGCATGGCCCAAGGAGAGGAGCAGTGCGGGCGCCGAGCACAGGTAAGTTTGTAACAGAAACACACACACCCCCCGGGAGGATACGCCCCCGGGTAACGTAGATTAAAGGAACGGACAAAACACGGAGCATGCATATCAACTCCAGGGACCCAGGAACGGTCTTACCATACCCCTTCCAATAGACCAGATTCTGAAGGATGCCCCTAAGGAATCTACAGTAGGTCCCCCCCACATTCTTATTTATGGCCCCCACCCACCGCTCAGGGGTGGGGGCAGGGGGGAGGACAGTAGGTCCCCCCCTTAATTTTATTAAGGGCCCCCACCCGCCATGCAGGGGTGGGGGCCATGGGGAGGACAGGAGGTCCCCCTCCACATTCTTATTTAGGGCCTCCACCCGTCACACAGGGGTGTGGACAATAGGTTTTTTGGGTTTTTTTTACAGTGAGCAGCCACAGGCTGCTCACTGTTCATTAGACACGCCCCTACTCGTGGTATAGCGAGTAGGGGCTGAATTTACTAATACTAAGTAATCTTTACTTAGTATTAGTAAATTTGGCTGAAAGACCAATTTAAGTCTTTCAGCCTTTTGGTAGATAGCTCCGTAATACCGTGGGAATTAGGGAGTTATCTACTAAGCGGCTGCCTATTTTATGTATTTTATGTTATTTTAAGTGATTTCCCTATCCACATTTGTTTGCAGGGCACTTGTCCTACTCTTACCTCCATTTTACTTCATTTTGCAGCCCTCTAGCCCTTTACAGGACTTTTTTAGAGCCATTTTTGCGCCCTAAGGTTCGGGTCCCCATTGACTTCAATGGGGTTCAGGTTCAGGGTCAAGTTTGGGGTCAAGTTCGATCCCAAACCCAAACTTTTTTTCGAAGTTTGGCCGAACCCACCGGACCCGAACATCCAGGTGTCTGCTCAACTCTATTCCTGATTTCAACTTGAGCAAATGGCAAAGTCAGAATGTTTTAACAAACAAAGATCTATACGAGGGCTCTCGGTTATTCTCTTTTGATTAATTAAAAACAAAGTTTGATTTACCAAATAATTAATTGTTTAACTATATACGAATACATAGTTTGTAAAATAACATGTTATGCATGCAAAGAGTGAAATAGGCAATTTTTTAAGTAAATATTTAAAGGATATGGAATTAAGACAATTTATTCAAAAGCAAACGAGTTTGTTAAAAATGAAATAATACCTGAGATCCCCTCACCCTTTAGAAAATGGTAACAGGACTGTCAGATATCTACACAGTTTAAGGATTGGGGAACAGCCTTTATGAAACTGAAAAAAATCAATACATTGTCTAAGTTTATTGGAAAAACAAGTTAACATTTTATATAAATGGTATCTAGTTCCTACTAGATTAATCAGGATCTCTCAGACTAATCCCACTACATGTTGGAGATGTATACAATCAGAGGGTAATATGGAACATATGTGGTGGAGTTGCCCTAGGATTATAAAATTATGGAACTATGCTTTTGATACAGTTACAGATTTAACTGGTATAACATTAGATAAGAAACAGGAAGTAGCATTGTTACATTTAAATTGGCAGCAACAGTCTAAACCCCATATTACTATAATAATACATTGTTTTATGGCAACTAAAGTCCTTATTGCCAGACACTGGAAACTAACAGAAGTCCCATCTAAAGATCATTATCAGCTCAGTATGGAAAAAGGGATCAATATATTAAACCCAAGAACAAACCGTAAACAGGCAGCGAAATATGAATATTGTATAAACTATCATAACAGACTACCTACTGGATGAAATTTAGATCCATAAGCATTAGACTATTAAATGATAAACAAGGAATGGTGTTGCCACAGCCCTGATGTCCAGTTTAAAGGACAACTAAAGATGACAATTTTATGTATTTATAACATGATAAATACTCCCTTTTGTAGTTTGATTGTATTTGTTGTAAGATACAGGTTTGAATTTAATGTACTT